TGTTTTCCAGTTTTCCTGCATTTCCTTTGTTTCTCATCCTGTGTGTTTTGGTCTACCCACTGAGTTATGTAGTTTTTTATGATGTGTTTCTTTGTTTTTTCCTTACTTATTTTTTATGTCTCTGTTCTGCTCTTTTGTTTAGTGGTTACCCTGAGATTTGTGTTCAGAATCTCATGGATAAGATAGTCCATTTTCTGGTGGACTCTTATTTCCTTAGATGGGCTTTGGTTTTGGACCTGGGTTCATATTCCAGTTCAATCTCTTACTAGCAGCAGCAGCATGGTTTGGGCCAGTTACCTAACCTTTCTCCTGAGTCTTAGTCTCCTACGGTTTTCAGCAATATCACAGATTGCTTTTAAGATTAAATGAGAGAAATATATGTTCAGAGGACCTGGAATGTAGTATAGACTCCAAAAGTGTTAGCTATGATGATGCTGAGGAGGATGGGGAAGAAGAGGAGGACAAGGCTTCAAGCTCCCTTTTTCCTCCCCCAACCAATCCATCACAAAGGCCTGACACCCCCAAGGAAGATTCACATGCCTCTTGTTCTGACTTCTCTCTTGAGGAGTGAACCCTGGGTGCTCAGAGTCCAGAGATGGGTCCTGAGGAAACAGGATGTCACTTTTAGTTCTTGGCATCACTTGTGCAGCCACACCCTTTACCAAAATAACGTCCAGGCTATGTGGACGTCTACCAGGAAACAGTGCTGCAGCCCTCCTTCTCCATGTCTAGACTCATCCAGAGTGGCTGTGCTGTGCAGGAAGTCTGGTTGGGGGAGCCATTGAACTGTGCAGAGCATTTTAATATAATGTCTGATTCAGATAAAATGGTGTTTTGTCTGTCTGTGGTTGTCTGAAACGACCCATGGCTGTGTAATTTCCTTGTGATCATCCCACTGTAACTGGGCTGGGGGCTGAGGATGGATGTGATGTCTGTCCCCACCTTCAGCGGTTCTCATTCATTCCTAAAATATCCCCTACACCCCATTTACAAGAGAGAGACTGACTAGACTGCCTGTTCTCCTTACGCGAGGACCCTCTCCACACTGCAGCCACAGTTATCTGAAAGACAAGTCTGACCGTGGCTCTCCCCTTCTTCAGACATCTAGTGCTGCTGATGCCATCTGATAAAATTCTAATCCTTCACCCTGGTAAACAAAATTCTTGACAAATTTAGCTGAATTCTGCAGCCTCATTTCATCCCTCCCAGCAACCCTACACTTCCACGTGTCAGTCTGTGAACATGCTTTCCTACTTCCTGAGTGTTCTTTCCTACCTCTGTGCCTTGGTACACATTGTTCCCTTTACCTGGAGTGCCCCACGAGACTGAGCTCACGCAGGGACAAATTGAGTCCCAGGGTAGCAGGTGGGGAAAGGGAGGAAGGTGAGATATTACCAGACAGGGCAGGGAGTGAGTGCTGACCAGCTTCTCTGTCCATCTTCCCCATCAGTGACAAGTATAGGCATGTCCTTAATTCAGTTAGAATTAACTCTCACTTTGGCAACATGGGATCTAGTTTCCAGAATCTCTTTTAGTGCTGGTACTTTTTTGTCTCAAAGCAAAAGAGAACCAGGTTTGGGGACGGAGTTGGGTTGGGGGGTGGAAATCATGCATGGAAAACATTTTCCTTGTTTTTCTGCTAAAATGTGCATAGTGCAAGGGCAAGAAATATTTGAGGGAGGGGAAAAATATAGCAAACATGGCATTTTGAAAGTCTAATTGGATATGGATGAACATACTGAGATGATGTTCTTTTATTGTCAGAAATAATGTTTTACAGAGAAGCTATTTGTGAAGAGAGACCAGTTATTATTGATGGACTAATGTGCACTCAAGAATATGGAAGTAATAATGCAGACTTATGGTACCTGCAGAAAGATGTCAATCAAACGTGAAGTTGGAGGGGAAAGAATGAACACTTTCTGATTTGACTTTGCCTGTAGGATTTGACCTGTAGGACTCAGATGAACAGACCCAGGATTGTTGAACAAAATCAAAAGTGGACTCTGAATGGTTTACTGACCACTTTGCCCCCTCAGATGTGTTCTGACAATTGCTCTTAGAATTCAAGAACCAACACAAGCCTATGATTCAGCAAACATGTGTCTCAACTTTTAGAATACCATTCTGACTTCAAGTACCATTTCCTATCCCTATAACCCAGGGAAATACTCCTGTCATCCCAATATTTCATTGTCCAAACTACACTCCACTCATTTCCATCTGTCCATGGAAATGTGACAGAATTCTTTGCTCAGACCACATGTTCCAACTTTAGACTCAGGAAACATGATTGTGAGTCCTATAGAGTCAGCTCCAGAAGTGGAAAAGGATTCCATAAAGATCATTCCATTCTGTTTAAGGTTTAATTGCCCCAAGAGAAACATGAATAGGGAGGAGGAAGATAAAGCAAAAAGATCTTGGAATGAATAATAGGAAGATTCTTTGGGGGAGGAAATGCAGGAGGGTCAGAGTTCCTTTAAGCACTGATGAGGCTGCCTGTACAAGGAGCACCCCGTTAGTTAGACGCATATCATCCAGCATGCTGATGTTTCGGGCCCTTGCTTCCCTGCACCCTTCTGCCCTGGGAAAAAGGCTTTGGGGGAGCCAACAAAAGTCCTGCTGGTCAGCACTTCAGAGCCAGTGACCCAGGGGGCCCAGATCTCAACCAATTTGATTTGATTTCGTAAGAAACTGTGACTGAGGACACTCCTTTGGGGTCGGGGGTACTTTGCTAAGTGTTTGCATTGTCTCTCATTTAGAACAGAAGTCTTGGGGACAAACCCCAATTTTTTTAAATTAAGATTATGATAGTTAACAACCTTGTGAAATTACAGTTGTACGTTATTATTAGTCATGTTGTAGGTACACCGCTTCACCCTTAGTGCCCTCCCCCATCCTCCCTTTCCCCTGGTAACCACCGATCAGTTCTCTTTGTCTATACGTTAACTACCACCTATGAGTGGAGTCATACAGAGTTCGTCTTTCTCTGTCTGGCTTATTTCACTCAACATAATACCCTCAAGGTCCATCCATGTTGTTGTGAATGGGACGACTTTGTCCTTTTTTAGAGCTGAGTAGTATTCCCTTGTATATATATACCATATCTTCTTTATCCAATCATCAGTTGCTGGGCACTTAGGTTGGTTCCATGTCTTGGCTATTGTGAATAATGCTGCAATGAACATAGGGGTGCATGGGACTTTTGGAATTGCTGATTTCAGGTTCTTAGGATAGATACCCAGTAGTGGGAGGCTGGGTCATAAGGTATTTCTATTTTTAATTTTTTGAGAAATCTCCATCCTGTTTTCCATAGTGGCTGCACCAATTTGCATTCCCACCAACAGTGTATGAGGGTTCCTTTTTCTCCACAGCCTCTCCAACATTTGTCACTTTTTGTTTTGGATATTTTTGCCATTCTAACAGGTGTAAGGTGATATCTTAGAATAGTTTTGATTTGCATTTCCCCGATGATTAGTGATGATGAGCATCTTTTCATGTTTCTGTTGGCCATCTGTATATCTTCTTTGGAGAAATGTCTGTTCATGTCCCCTGCCCATTTTTTGATCGGGTTGTTTGATTTTTTGTTGTTGAGCTGTGTGAGTTCTTTATATATTATGGAGATTAACCCTTTGTCAGATAAATAACTTGTAAATATTTTTTCCCAATTAGTGGGATGTTTTTTTGTTTCAATTCTGTTTTCCCTTGCTCGTTAGTCTGATGAAGTCCAATTTGTTTATTCTTTCTATTGTTTCCCTCATCTGAGGGGTTATGGTGTCCGAAAAGATTCTTTTGAAACTGATGTCAAAGAGTGTACTGCCTATATTCTCTTCTAGAAGACTTATTGTTTCAGGCCTAATCTTTAGGTCTTTGATCCATTTTGAGTTTATTTTTGTGAATGGTGAAAAAGAATGGTTAATTTTCATTCTTTTACATGTGGCTGTCCAGTTTTCCCAGCACCATTTGTTGAAGAGACATTCTTTTCTCCATTGTAGGCCCTCAGCTCCTTTGTCAAAGATTAGCTGTCCATAGATGTGTGGTTTTATTTCTGGGCTTTCAATTCTGTTCCATTGATCTGTGCACCTGTTTTTGTACCAGTACCATGCTGTTTTGATTACTGTAGCTTTGTAGTATGCTTTGAAGTCAGGGATTGTGATGCCTCCTGCTTTGTTCTTCTTTCTCAGGATTGCTTTAGCAATTCGGGGTCTTTTCTTGCCCCATATGAATTTTAGGATTCTTTGTTCAATTTCTGTAAAGAATGTCTTTGGGATTCTGATTGGGATAGCGTTGAATCTGTAGATTGCTTTAGGTAGTATGGACATTTTAACTATGTTTTTTCTTCCAGTCCATGTGCATGGAATGTCTTTCCATCTCTTTATGTCATCATCGATTTCTTTCAAGGAAGTCTTGTAGTTTTCGTTGTATAGATCTTTCACTTCCTTGGTTCAATTTATCCCAAGGTATTTTATTCTTTTTGTTGCGATTGACAAACCCCAATTTTAGGTGTGGTACTTATCGTGGTCCCCAAGAGCTTCTTTATGTAAAAATCCCAGCATGGTCCAGCCTCTCCTCTCTCAGAGTCCAACAGAGGGATGGATTTGTGGGACAACTTCACTGTCCACCCTGTGTAAATACATTTCCGGCCCCCACACTCTCCCTTTTCCTTTTCTCTGCATTATTTTTCTCCTGATCATTTACCACCACCAAGCATACTCTCTTTTGTTTACTTGTCTTGTTTACTGTCTGTGGCCCCCATCCCACCCCTAGAATGTACATTTCACACATACCTAGAAGAAAAGTTCCTTTCCCAAAGTAAGTGTTCCGTGAATATCTGTTGAATGAAGGGAAGAATGAACTTGTTCATCTGCAGGAGCTGGATGGGGGCAAGAGGAAAGTCAGTTCGAGTCCCACCAATAGATCTTCAGTTTCCCCTCTCCCTTTCTTCCCCCAGTGCTTCTGTTACATGCTACAAGAGTCTTTTGTTTTCCACCTCTTTGCAGAGCATTGGCTGCGATGACTACCTAGGCTCCGACAAAGTCGTGGACAAATGCGGGGTGTGCGGAGGCGATAACACGGGCTGTCAGGTTGTGTCGGGCGTGTTTAAGCATGCCCTCACCAGCCTGGGCTACCATCGAGTTGTTGAGATTCCCCAAGGAGCCACAAAAATCAACATCACCGAGATGTACAAGAGCAACAACTATTTGGGTAAGCTTGGGCTTTTTCCAGAGGAAACCATCTGTCGCTATCAGATGATTTATTCCTTCCAGGATCGTGACACAGCAGGGTCCAGAGGTCCTTGGACACGTAGAAGGTGCCACTGGGGAATGTCAAGGCACCACCTGGCCTCTGCCTTGAAATGAGAGGCTTGGGTGGAGAAAGTAAAAAAAGTCCCTTTTCCAAGTAAATGTTTAATATCTACACATTTAGGCCAGCCTCTGTTCCTTCCAAGAGAAACATGGTTATGAAATTGATAACAGGCTAAATTGTTTCTCTGAGATGGGAGAGGCTCTTTGAAAAATGAGGAGATCTGCCAGTCTTTGTTCTGTTGGAGTTTGAGGTGGCCAGGAGGAGTTGATGATCCTGTCTGGACCTTCACTCCCTGGGGTCCAAAGCAAAAGCCATTTTTCACTTCTTTCTGCTTCACCCGCCTGGGGCAGCAGTGTGTGTATAGTAGGAGTGTATCTTCTGAACAGCTGCAGAACCCCTCAGCAGTCACTTTGGGCACTGTCATCAAGGTTGAGAGGCCATTTTTAACCCATTTTCCTACCAAAAGAGATCTTTGTTGATACTTCCTTCTGAGTTTCTGGCTGATTGCATCTTATGCACAGCAAATCGAGTCACAAATTAATTTTTACCAACTTCTAATTCATGTAAGCATATACAAATCAGTTAAAAAAATAATATAAGGAAAGCAGTTTCTTAAAGTCATTTAATGAACAGCAGTATTCATTTTTATTTTTTCATTATTTATTTAACAGAAACTTAAATAGAACAGACTATGTGCCAGGCACTATTCTTAGTGCTTTACAAGCATTAAATCATTGAACCCTCTCAACAGTCCTAGGGGATAGGAGCTTTTTCCATCCTCATTTTATAGATAAGGAAACAGGCACAGAGAGATTATATAACTTTCCAAGGCCACACAGCCAGGAAAAGGTGAAGCTGGGATTCAAACCCAGGCAGTCTGTCTCCAAGCATGGTAGTCTGCCAAGAGATGACACCCGCAAGCAGTTCTAGAACCTGAGTTCTTCTGGTACGCCATTGGCCAGGCGGCAGTCAATGGCTGCAGCAGGTGGGAGATGACTAACTTTGCAAATTTTGAGTATCAGAATCACCCCAGAAGGTAACTCTGGACCCAAGAACTCCAGATTCTGCAGCTCTTCCTTCTCTGCCCAGTCAAGCAACCAAAATTAGCTTCGCTTGGTTTTATTGGTAAGAGGAGGAAGGGGCGGCAGATGGGACTTGAAGACAAATCCAACTGAAGAGGAAAGCTGTTACATTTGCTCTGGCAAAGCCAGGAGCCACTATGGTGGCAGTGAGCCTAGTTTACCACTGAGTGGTTTGCGTGTTATTTTTATTTGCAAAAAATAGTCTTTGCGTGTTTCCTCCTTTCTTTTGTACTATTAGGAGATCCCATCTCCATAAACATCCTGTCTCCTAGAATGGAACATGTTCTTCGGGGGATTATTTGAAGCCTGATTGTGTCCAAATGCACCAGCAAACAATGCCACTTTTTATGAGCTTTGTGTTGTTTTTAGTAAATTTTCCCTGGCTCGAATTCGTCCTATTCAGTAAGTGGTTTTTAAGCTGTGCCCTCTGGAGAGAAAATATGTTATCCTGTGTGAATGTCTGGATGTCTGAACGGAAACTGCTCTCAGAGACTCAGTGTTTTCATCTAGAGTATGGGCGAAGAATCCTGGCCTTACAAGTATTTTCGTGAGACTCAATGGGATAACAGATATTCAGGACCCAGCAGAGCCGCTGGCACTTATTAGCTCTTGACAAATGTTTCTTCCTTTTCTTTTGTCTCAGAAAACTTGTCAAAGCTTTCTGAAATCCAGATTCCCTCTCCCCCTAAAAAAGATGAAGAGGAGGCAGAAGAGAAGGGAAGTAACCAGAGTCAATGGGAGGGTGACTCAGAAAGGCAAGTTCAATTTCCTCTGCCCAGCGACCAGCGGGGTACATGAGAAATCCAGAGTCCGTGGCAGTATTACAGGAGGCCACGTGGGCAAAGGAGGGAGGATGGAAACGGAAGAACAGGCTGTAGTGAAAGGAGGTTCCAGAGGTGATGAACAGGAGCTTCTGTCTGTAGCACTTCAGCATCACTTGGGTAGCATCACCTGGAATGCCCTTTTTTTCCTTTTTTTATTCCTTTTGCTATTGAGATATAATTCACATACCATAAAATTCACTCTTTTAAAGTGTACAGTGGGTGCTATGGTCTTTTTCTTATCACAGATTCTCTTTACCTATCCCACTTATCCTGCTAAATCTCCTGTTCTGTGAAGTCTATATATTTTAAAAGTTGAATTGCATGGCATTGCTGAGATGCTGTATCAGCCACTAGAGCACAGATCTAGCCACTCTTGAACCACCCAGTGACTGTCTTTTACATTACACATTTTCAAACATTGAAACATTTTTCAAAGAGATATGTGGTGGGTTTCTCCACAATTTTCCAGGTAATGATGAAGGTTTCAGTTTTCTTACTTTGTGATTTCTGGCTACGTGAACTGTATTTTGTATAAAAATTTGACTTGACGCACAAAACTGATTTGGCTGTTTGCATACATTTCTTCTACAGAATAGGCAATTTCGAAGAAATGAATAGTTCAAATCTGTATCATTGCTTTTAAAAAATGCACAACTTTTTTTCAGTTGCCTTATTGTTTTCCAGAATTACCTTTAGTTATTTGTAAGGCAAATCAAACTTTCCTTGTGAAATACTTGGTATTTTGTAATGACTGCCTGTCCACACTTTCTGGAGATAGAAAGTAGATTTCTGTGAAAACAGAAGGACTTGTGTTATTAGTGCTGAAGAAGATGGTTTAATCATCTCATTTTAAAAGATTTTTTTAAGAGGTTGGCCCAGTGGCATAGTGGTTGAGTTTGCGTGCTCTGCTTCAGCGGCCTGGGGTTTGCAGGTTCATGGGTTTGGATCCTGGCTACAGACCTGCATACCACTCATCAAGCCATGCTGTGGCAGCATCCCACATATGAAATAGAGGAAGACTGGCACAGATGTTAGCTCAGTAACAATCTCCCTCAAGCAAAAAGAGGAGGATTAGCAATGGATGTTAGCTCAGGGCCAATCTTCCTCACCAAAAAAAGAAAGAAAAAATTTTTTAAACCTTCAATATTTAAATAACTTACTCTAGGCTAGTCACTTAGGCAATAATAGTAATCATGCTGTATGTGTAATGCTTCAGTCTCCAAGCTTTTTTCCATGCATGGTCTTCTGACTTTGAAAACTAGACATTCTTTACTTTGCTTGCCCTAAAAAAGATTTGGAGTATCTTACTAAAGGAGCAATTATAGAGTTAGGGGGTGAAAATTGAAATTAAAAAGTCAAGAACTACACAGAAGAAAGAGGCATATATACCAAAAACCTTGGCTAATATGTAAAGAGTGACAGTGCATTCAACCTGACCCTGAGTTTATGGCTTAATTTGGTCTGGCCGTCAAGAACTGGACCTGCTGGACTCAGTTTCCAATGGCCTGAGGTCTGGCCCTGGCCCTGCCATAACTCACAGGGGCACTGGCCCACGTGGAGCTGGGGAGGACAGGCCAACCCTGCACTTCACGATGCTCACTGTTTCTCTGAGCGAAGCTACAGAAACCATGACCTTTAATGGTGTGCAGATTTCAGGAGACGGGATGTTTATTCATCTCATTTTAGGCAGGAAACCATGAAATTCTGTATTATTGAGCTCCACCTTTCGGTGTTTATTTGAATTTGTTCACATGCTGCAAAATGTAAACTAGTTGATGGATGATGGATCCTCAGATCTCTTTTTTATTTTAATGAAAAAGGCTATGGAACCTCTGTATCTGTTGTAGGCTGTGGATTCTCCTTTTGCATGTGAGTTATTCTGAACCGTGCTCTTTGAAAATAAAAAGTTGAATCTAATTTTATTTAAATGATTGACATTTTTTATTACTTCCTTCTTCCTTAGTAATAAGATGTTGTAAAATTATTTCAGCCGCAATATCAAAGATTGGCAGAGTTCGGTCAGCTCAGCTTACTAATGTCATTATGTAACCGTTAAGAAATCAGACGTAAAAGCATGCCAAGCAAAAATTGATGCTACAGGATACGTTCCCCCTGCCAACGTGGTGCACTGTCAGAGAGCCTTAGACTTGGAAGGGGTTTTTCAAGATCTGTACTCTTTTAAAAATAAACTGGCGATACTTTTACTTTTAAGCATGTTTTCTTAAACGTTTTGAACAGTAATAATAATGGGCAGCATTTTAAAAATCAAGTATCATGAATCATCTATAATTTGCAACCCTTTATTTATTAGTTCAGCAGCTTTCTATATGGGAAAGATTGGAGTATTCGGATTATATGATGTCTGACGTTTGCATAACAATGAATCCCAAAGATTTGTTCATATGCATTATAAAAATTTTGAACGATACAGACAGTATAGGACAAAAAAATGAAATTCCTTCATGCCAACGCCCTGCCCGATCCACTGCCTTCAAGAGCAAAGACAGATGAATGACCACTCCTAACAGTTCAGTGTACACCTTCCAGTCATTTATGGAAGTACAAATAAATATGTGTTTTCTAAAATTAATGTTACTATACACACTTTTTGCAATTTGCTTCTTTATTTTAGTATTATATTATGATATCTTTTCATATCAGTGCATATAAAGCTAATTCATTATTTTTTTGAATGGAGAATATTCCTTGCAATGATGTAATATAATCTATTTGAGCTTTTCTCTATTGAGAAGTGTTTAAATTGTCTCTAGTTTTCTAATATTGCGAGTAATACTTTAGATTTTTGGTTCAAGATGGCAGACTGAGTACATGAGTTTTTCTTCCCTTCCTCACAAAATTCCATCAAAAAGATACTAAAAGAATAAGAGAAGATATAGCCTACAACCACTAAGAAAACAGGAGTTGAGGGGGTGGGGATCTGTTAAATAATTTTAACAAATTTCTGGAACAACGTTCTGAAAGCAGATGGAAG